TGACGGAGTGAGCTCCTGTCTCTGGCCTCAGCTGGGTACCAGAAATTGCAAGTGGATGAATAGGTTCCGCTTCGGTGAGAAGGTAACAGTGTTCCGTGTGCCTCAGCATTTAGTCACACCGTCCACATGACCACGGAAATGTCTTTGGACAGCCCTGGCTCTTCCGCTTGGAAATGGAGATGAGCATGGCCCCCTAGAGTCAGATTCGAACAAGGGAAACCTTTACCTTTAGGGTGCAAGTAGGTAATATTTGGGGGTGGGATGGCCACTGGCAAGGGATCAGGAAGCAGGTTGCCCAGGGGTCATTTTGTAGAAAAAGAGGTGCAGGAGCTCATTAGCATAACTTATTTGCATATCCCACGCCCCCTGATGTGTGTGTCAGAAGGCACACCCACCGCTCAGGCTCCACTGGACTGTTTTGGATTGCTAGCTATTTGGGGAGGGGGGGGACGTCCTCACAGAGGAGGGAGAGCTTGTACCTGAATAAACCTTGGTCTTAAAGGTGCCACTGGGCTGTTTTGGATTGCTGGGGGGGGGCTCTGCAACTTACCTGGCTGCTTCTTGCTCTGACTGAGGGCTGCTGGGAGCAGGGGGTGGGGCTGGTTGCATGTGCCCGCCCCCTGGGCTCTTTACTGCTGGAGCTCTGCTCCTGTGCGCTCCTACAGGAAATTACCCCTGAGGTTGCCCGATCCAGGTTGGGAAATATCTGGAGATTTGGAGGGTGGAGCCTGGGGAGGACAGGGACCTCAGTGGGGTACAAATGCTATAGAGTCCACCCTCCAAACCATCCGTTTCCTCCAGGGGAACCTGCCATCTGCAGTCTGGAGTTGAGCTGTAATTCCAGGGGATCCCCAGGTCCCACCTGGAGGCTGGCATCCCTATTTGGCGGGGGGAAGCTGATTTTTCCCCCCCAGGGTGCATTTCACAGCGCGCCACTTTTCCTGACCTCGTTCCAATTTTTAATGAAGGTCGCTGAGACGCATCTCCGAAAATTGTTCCAGAAGGAGACAACATTTTTTCCATGTAGTGCTCAGCCTCCATTAGAATTGCTAGCAGACCGGAAAATAAAAACCAGCCAGACTGGGTTGGAGAGCTAATGCAGTTTAACCCTCAGGTGTGTTTTGTATGTATTTCAAATAAACCCCTTAAATTAGGTTCAGGTGGCCAGCTGTGTTTGTAGGACACAGTTTGAGTTCAGTAGCAGCTTAAAGACCCACAAAGTTTTCCAGGGTCTGAGTCAAAGCTCACTTTGTGAGAGAGCCAGCGTGGAGAGCCAGTGTGGTGTAGTGGTGGTTAAGAGCAGCAGACTGATCTGGAGAAACAGGTTTGATTCCCCTCTTTTCCCCTGTGAAGCCTGCAGGGTGACCTTGGGCCAGTCACAGTTCTCTCAGAACTCTCTCAGCTCCACCTACCTCACAAGGAACCTGTTGTGAGGAGAGTAAGGGAAAGGTGATTGTAAGCCACTTGGAGACTCCTTAGGAAAGAAGAAGAAGAAGAAGAAGAGATTGGATTTATACCCCACCCTTCACCCTGACTTCGACACATCAGCCGATGCCTTGCAAACTCCAGACTGTAGGCTGACATCTCATCCAAGATTTCGTGCGAACGTGACATCGACGTATCATCAAGCGAGATCATTTCTAGCTAGGGATGCCAGACCCCCCCGGTGGGGGTAGGGACCCCCGCTTCCAGGCCCCAACTCTCCGCTGCCAATCAGCTGGCCGGCAGGGGGGAATTGCCCCCCAAACAAGGAAGGAACACCCAACATTTCAGCGACATTCCTATGTGACTTCAACGTGAAGTGATGTAAACACATTGGGGATGTCGGGGTGATGCTCTACTTTTTGGGCAAAAACTCTACGGTAGAATCTAATTCTACCGTAGAGTTTTTGCCCCAAAAACCCAGAGCGTCGCCCCAATGCCTCTATGTCACTCCCGGGTCACATTGGAAGTCACGCCGGCACACTGCTGGAATGTGCAAAGAAACTCCCAGCTGCCCGTAAGCTCGCCCCCCTCCCCCACTGGCCGCCTGGAGGGACCCGGCAACCCTATTTCTGTCGCTACTGTTCTCCCGCCAGGCTGGGGTGCAAAGGCAGGTGGGAAGGTCGGGCAAATGGCCTGCTGGATGCCAGAAACAATTTGCAGCACGTACCAGCATTGGCCAGGGTTGCCAGCCTCCAGGTGGGGCCTGAGGGTCTCCCAGGTTTACAACCTGGTCGTCCGACGACTGAGATCAATTCCCCTTAGGGTTGCCGGGTCATCACACCAGCAAAGTATGGTAAAACTGGCTTCTACCATAGAGTTTTTGCCCCCAAACCAGAGTGTCACGCAGACGTCGCTAGCGTGATGACATCACTTCTTGTGTGACGCCGGCCATGAGGCCTAGGCCTTCTCCTTTCTCCTGGTAAGTCCCTGTCGCTGGCCAGCTGATCAGTGGCTGGGGGCAGGGTGTGGCAGCGGGGGACCCTCTCCTCCATTGGTCCGGCAACCCTAGTTCCCCTGGACAAAATGGCTGCTTTGGAGGCTGGACTCTATAGTATTATAGCCCACAGAGGTCCTCCCATCCCTAAACCCCGCCCTCCCCAGGCTCCACCCCCTAATCTCCAGGAACTTCCCAACCCTCTTTTGTTGTGAGGCTCTGTCGTCTCCTCTGGGGTCCTGCCGCCGGTGGCCATGTCTAATGGAAGATCCGACGAGCGGGGGCATCGCTGGGGCTGACACCGGGTTAAAGGAAATGGAGCTGAAAGAGGGTCTCAGGCAGTCAAGGGGCGAGGTTGGCTTCACCTCTCAGGCCCCTCTGCAGACACAGCCTTGACTCTCGGCCCTCTCAGGAGCATTGGGACGGTTGTGGTTTCCCTCTCTCTGTTGCTGCGCACCACGTCCTCTTTCCCAGTCTCAGCTGTGCATCCTCCTCCTCAACCCTTGCCTCCACTTTCCTTTTATCCCTCTCCCCGCTCCAGCAATGCCTCCTGTCCCCAGGCGTCTTCCCCTCATGCAGGCTCCGCCCCCCTTCATATTGCCGGACGCCTTGGGTGGGGCTCTCCCATTGGACACGATGCTGTGCAGCGAACCCATCGAAGCCACGTATCACTCCGCCTGTCGGGTCGTCTCCTTTCCCCGACGTCGCCTTCCACGCCCCTCGCTCTTAGTCGCAGCCCTGGCCAGCTGACTGGTCCCCTCCCAGGGATCGCATGGTTGGCGACGCGTTCTCCCAGGTTGTCTTGTTTCCCCTGTCATTGCACCAGTGTTTTTGTCGATCCTTTTCGCCGGCGGGGACCCCATCTGGGGCTGGCATGGGGCTTCCAGTGGTGAGTGAGGTAACTTTGGGGGGTTCCAGGGGGGGGGCAGGACTGGGTAACCGGGACATTTGTATTTTGCATAGTTTTATATTGACTACACAGGATTTTATGGATATTTACTATGCTATTTCTGTACCTGTTTTAATTGATGTAATCATACGTTGTTATTAACTGCTTCGAGCTCACGGGTTGTGCTTCCCTAGCCCAATTTGAGAAAGCACTCAGCACAGTCCTGTAGAGTAGAATCCAGGCTAAAAACTTTATTAATAAAGGAGCGAAAATACAGGTATAACAAGGTTTTGAATCCTCGAATACCCACAGCTCTCCCTAAGGTTACAGTAGGAGACATAGGGTTTTAAACCCACTATGACACCATTCTGATTGGGCCCGAACCTGTGGGTTGGATTTTCACAGGCAAAAATGCACCTCCTACAACTAAACAATAGGCCTTCTTCTCAGGCTGTGAAGTTCCAAAAAGTATCTAATGTAACAGATATGGGTACATCCAGAGGTCATTTCGGGGGGGGGGAACGCGGAGAGAAGAGGGAGGGTAAGTTGCTTCCTCCCCGCCTCTCCCCACCCCTGCCTGCCTGGAGCCAGGGAGGGCCTTGGCGGGGCTTCCTCGCACTCCCGCTGGCCTTGCAGGTCCACCGCCGGGCCCCTGATGTCAGGGAGTGTGGCATATGCTAATGAGTTATGCTAATGAGTTCCCCTAGCTCTTTTTCTACGAAATGACCCTTGGGTACATCATGCAGTATGTTCTCCATCTAACGCAAGCGAGCTGACATCAGGAACATGCGCAGTCACAGACAGGCATCACAAGCAAGGTCATAAGCAATCAGTTACTGCCTGTCAGCATTTAGCATTTTTCCCAGAATGCATTTAAGCATTGAACCAAAGTGAATACCTGAATATATATTCATGATTGATGTCTATCTCTGTAATTAGAATCACCAATGGCACTTAACATATCTGTATGTCTGTGTATGTCATAGGTGCTAATTGAGTCCACTAAGGTTAGTCTACTAAGGCAGACAGAGTGCTGAGTGCATAACAGTGTCACATATAAACTGTGCGTACAACACCTGGAGTCCTGTGTGCAGTTCTGGAGGCCTCACTTCAAAAAGGATGTGGGCAAAATCGAGAGGGTGCAGAAGAGAGCTACAAGGATGATCAGGGGTCTGGAGACTGAGCCCTACGAGGAAAGGCTAAGGGGCTTGGGAATGTTTAGTCTGGAGAAGAGGAGATTGAGGTGGGACAGGATTGCTGTCTTTAAATATTCGAAAGGCTGTCATTTGGAGGAGAGCAAGGAGCTGTTCCAGTTGGCAGCAGAGGACAGGGCCCGAAGCAAAAGGTTTAAATTACATGCAGAAAGGTATGGATATTAGAAAAAACTTCTTCATGGTCAGAGTGGTTCAAGGGTGGAATCAGCTGCCTGGGGAGGTGGTGAGCTCCCCTTCACTGACAGCTTTCAACAAGAGGCTGGACGAATATTTGTCAGAGATGCTTTAGGCTGGTCCTGCATTGGGCAAGGGATTGGACTATGGTCTGTATGGCCCCTTCCAACTCTACAGTTCTATGATTCTATGTTGGCGTTCACGTCTAGCGTTCTTTTCTCATTCTGCATCTTAAAACCGCGTGTTTTGGGGAGGGAGCTCGTAGCCTCCATTGACTCTCTCCTTGGCCCTCTTCCCGTCCTAGATTACCGCACCGGGCCCTGCTTTAGCCAGGTCAGCAACCAGATGTGCCAGGGCCAACTGAGCGGCATCGTCTGCACCAAGACCATGTGCTGTGCCACCATCGGGCGGGCATGGGGCCACCCTTGTGAGATGTGCCCTGCCCAGCCACACCCGTGCCGCCGGGGCTTCATTCCCAACATCCGCACGGGAGCTTGTCAAGGTAAGGCCGGTCCTCTCTCAGGCTTCATCCCGTCTCCAGAAATGCCTTGGCCAGTCTCTTTTCCCGGACACAGAGCTCACCTCGTTCTGAGTCCGGCCTGGCATGGCCTCCTGCAGCCGGCAGCAGCTCTCCACAGTCTCAGGCTGAGAATGGCCTTTCCCAGAACATGCAATATGAGATGCTGGTTTTCTAAGCGGAGTGATATTTGTGTTCTATTGGAACAAATTCCTAGGCTCCAAGGAGAAGGCTGAGTTTAGAACCCTTTTGCCCTGGCATGATAACTTTGCATAGACCCCGGTCACATGGGCCTGATAACGCCGGGGGGAGGCGTGGCTTTTTGCGCTGGCGCAATTTAATGCGCCAGAACGCGATCAGACGCCGCCGCGGCAAAGTGGGGTTTTGTTTGTCGGCAGGTTTTTCGGCGTGCGTCAAGAGCGCGCTTGAGCAATCACACATAGGTATTCCATCGACGGCCCGTAGCAAACCGTTTGCTAGTAGGCTTTCCCGGGTATTTTTTAACTCCAGATCTTCAGGCGGATGCTACGGGTCGGCGATGTTTCACTTGCCAGATGTGTCCTTGTGATCGCTCCCGTATACTCCGCCCGACATTCGTGCCTATCCTGCCGCAAATTTCACCTGTGAACTGGGCCACAGCTTAGTTTTTAGTTTGGTTTAGTTTATTTAAGATTTAGTAGCCCATAGGCCATACACCATTAAAAAAAAATAGGAATGTAAAAGAACAGTAAAACAGAAATTTGCCACATCCACAATGCAATTTTGGCAGAGGCTGCTCTGACGTAGTCTTAATCTTGATGCATCAGGAACAAATGACAGCCATTTTCTTAAGAATCTTTCTCTTGCTGTTGCATGTTTTGGACAATAGAAGAAAACATGACACAGCGAGTCAAGTTCTATCAAAGGACAGTCACAATAGCGCTGGTCCAGAGGGGTCTTGAGAAAACTGTTGGAAATGCATTGCAGTGTGCAATCATATATGACTGCCTCAATTTTGGAATGGTCAACATGTTTAAGTAGAGAGGCAGGTCAAATTTAGTGGAATATTTAATTCCTAGATGAAGTGGGGAGCATTTTCGCCTAGCATCTGTTTGAAGGGCATCCCAATAATTTTGGAGCAACTTTTCTGTGAGTAGCATTTTTCTTCTTTTAGTTAAATTTTCTGTCTTCCTTTAAGCCCAATTGGCTTATTTTCGCATTTACAGCATCATTCCATTTTGACCAGCAACGTTCATGTTCTGTCACTATGGTAAAGGTTGGAAGGCTTTCAGCATTTAGCAGTCGATATTTGTAACTATGGCCCTTTAGATCAGAGTTGAGATCCTTGGCAGGCCTAACTCAAGCCTTATGACTGTAGAAGTGATGCATGGTGGTAAAGTTATTATTTTACAGAAGAAAGCTTGCTGTAGTTTTTCAAGTTGCCCTGTTGTGCCAAGTCCACAAGGTTAAGATCCTCCTTACAAGCCCTGTTCTCTGTGCCCCACTTGCAGAGGTGAGGCAAGCGGAGATCAGAGACACGGCTTTTTCAGTGGTGGCCCCTTTGCCTGTGGAATGACCTTCCCTTCGAGTCTTGCCTGGCACCTACCCCACTCTCTTAACCCCAGATGGTGGCTGGAGATCTCCTGGTGAAAGGTCAAAAGATTTCGTCTTACCCAGCTTTTAACTAACTTTTATCTCTTACAATTATTGTCACAAATTGCCTCTGGCTCGTTGCACAAAGCTCATTTGAGGCAGCTGAATGCAGAATACTCTTTTTATGCTCTGGCTGGATTTTTAATTGTTTGCTCGTTTTTATTGGATTTTTAAAGCAACTTCCTCACGCTTTGCTTTGTAAGGCGCCTCGGGCAGGTTCTCCGGAGAGGCGACATAGATGTCTCCTGAATAAATAAATCACTGTGATTATTATCGGTTCTCTTTTCTCACTCCCCCACCCCCACCCTGCAGATGTGGATGAATGCCAGGCAATCCCAGGCCTGTGCCAAGGAGGGAACTGCCTCAACACCGTGGGATCCTACGAGTGCAAATGCCCAGCCGGCCATAAGCAGAGCGAGACCAGCCACAAATGTGAAGGTGAGGCAGAGTACGAGAGGAAGTGAGACAAGGGTTTTTTTGGGGGGATGCTGCGAGCCACTTCAAAAAATCTGAGCCAGAAACAAAGAAAAGCCGCACTGTTCAAGAGCAGACAGATGCTTTTTCAGAAGGTTGGCAGTGCTTCGGGAGAGGGTTTGAATGGTAATGCTTCCAAGTTCCTGCCCTGATTTTGGTGTTCCAAAGTGCCTGGCCTCTTGGTTTCCAAAGCGGGGCTGATGCTTTGGGAATCCTCCACTGTTCCATTTCTTATTTCCTAAATTTGTGCCTGTGAAACTGACCACCCTATGATGAAGATGAAGAAGAAAAAGAAGAGGAGGAGGAGGAGGAGGAGAGTTGGATTTAGACCCCGCCCTTCATTCGGAATCTCAGAGCATCTTACCGTCTCCTTTTCCTTCCCCTCCCCACAACAGACACCCTGTGAGGGAGGTGGGGCTGAGAGAGCTCTGAGAGAACTGCTCGTGAGAGAACAGCTCTGAGAGAACTTGTGAATTACCCAAGGTCACCCAGCTGCCTGCATGTGGAGGAGTGGGGAATCAAACCCATTTCTCTCAAATTTATTTTCTCCCCTGCCCCCACAATATCACTGATGCAACCATGGATAAAATGCAGCAACTCGGCAACCTTGAACTGATTGTACGAAGATCGTTTATGTGCAGTGATGAAGCAGTGGGCAAGAGCATGTGTGCATCGGTAAAATCCCACACAGGAAAAGTCATATGTATGTTTTATAGTGTGTTAGTGATGCACGAGAACTTATGCGCACATCGGTAAAACGCCTCTGTCAGCTATGCTGCCATGGGGGTTGGGATGTTCAGTCTCTGTGTGAATGGCCTTCACATTCCTTTCTCTCTGCTTTCTCTCCACTTAGCAAAGAAGTACAGATGGCCAGCCGTGGGAGCCTTAATGTTCCCAGCTTCGCATAGTAACGCTTGCTGGTTCTAGCCCGTGCACGGGAGGGTGCCTAACTGGCCAGCGCAGTGGGGGGGGGGGTGCATACGAATGCCCTATATCTCATTAGGTTCAAGAAGCAACTGCTATTCTTAACAGTGACTATGTTAATGCATCTATGGCTCTTCGATCAAAGTATCACCTTTCTAAAGAAGTGTGTACTCCGTTGTTGGCTGTGGGTTCTGACAGCCTCCCACCAGCAACTCCCGCTGCCTGTCGCCACTCCAAGTGGCAGCAGGAGAAAATTTCAAAAAGAAACACTAACGTGGTCTGTGGCGTTTTCCAGACTGCAGCCAGCTTTCGGGTTTATGTGGGTGTCATGGCGGTTCCGATGGTCGTGCTATCGGTGCGATCAGTTTGCACTTACACGTCCTTTTGTTCCCCCCCCATCACGATTCCATCTTGTCAAATTCATATTGATGTTCTGCTTTTTTCCTGGAGGGGAGTTGCACATACGCTGAAGCATTGCAGTGCTTCAGCGGCCTCAGGGGGGCGGTGCAATCCCCATTATATTCCCCGCCCATCTCACTACAACTGAGAGCTGTTTCTGGTGTACGTGTTTCACCTGTTCTCGGTTGCCTCTTTTCCCGCATTTGAGTGGTCTCTTTGATTGGCTCCCCCCCCCCGAATTTTGAATTCCTTTACCTGACTTGCAACTGGGACACAGCTCCAGTGTCGTACCTAGCATATTTGACACCCAGAGCGGATAATTCTTGAACACCCTCCTCCTCTGTACAACAAAACTGTCCAGGTCAGGTCTCTCAAGTGGGCTCACTCCCGATGAACTCAGTGGGGCTTACACTCGAGTAAGTATGCGTGGAAAGGGGTGCTTCCAGGACAACCCTTCCCCCTGTCTCCAGTGCTCCGGCCCTTTCTTGGGAGAGAGGCTCCATGAAAGCCACCTCCTTGCTTCACTCTGCCGAGCCTTCCACTTTGCGCAGGGTGGTGGCTGGTCTCCCAAGAGAAGCTTTGCACATGCACACAAACACCCACACCTCTGGATCAGCCCCTGTCACAGCTCAGGTGGGGTGTAACCTGACGCTGCCACCACTCTGGTTTTAGGATCCCTTGAGAAGGCCCAGAGCCCCTTCCCAAGATCTTCAGACCTCCCTTGTTTGGCTGAATAATAGGCGTGAGGACCAGGCAGAGTAAACAACAAGGAGACGGTTTATTTTTACAGGAGGTCAGCCCAATATGGGAAACAAACAAGGTGCAAGAACAATATCAGTAAGGGGGTGAAAAGAAAAGAAACCAAATGCCCTAACACATCTAAACGTACTGTCCATAGCTCACTGTCTCAAGTGGGCCTCAGTCTGCTCACCCTTCCTCTCAGGATGAGGGTCTCTCAGCCCAGATCATGACACCCTAGGGTTGCCAAGTCAGAAACCTACCGCAGCGGGGGACTCCTGGCTGGCGTCTGGAGTGCACGCACGCAAAGCGCACACACAGCATCCATGTCACCCGGAAGTGACGCGGGTACGCCAGGCACACTGGGGTGGGGCCAGGACCATCTGAGGGAGAAACTGGGGCGGGGCCAGGACCATCTGAGTTTTCCCTCAGATGACCGTGGCCCCGCCCCCAGCGTGCCCGGCGTACCCGTGTCACTTCCGGGTGATGTGTACGTGGGGGTGGAGTTCCCCCTGGGGCGCCGGCGGGGAACGGGCCTCTGGGGCGGGGGTTTCCCCACCCCCCCGGGGGGGACTTGGCAAGCCTATGACACACACACCCCAGACCAAATTTTGGGTTGGTGGGGCATGGGAAAATTTTGTGGGGCAGCAGGGGAGGTGGAGGTGGAGAGGGAGAGGAGCGGCCACACGCCTTCCCTGAACTCCAAGCTGCAATTTCACCGCTTGGAGATCAGGCATGGGCCAAACAGTTTGCTTCTCTCCAGAACTTCCCTTGTTCTGATAGGTCGGTTTACAATACCTTGCTTAGACTCAAGCTCAATACATTCATACATTCTGTTCCATACATAACAATCCTCCCCCCTAAGACAAGACAACACTTGAACAGATATAGTCCCTCAAGTAAGCAGGACGCTGCTTGACCCGTTGGGATCGTCTTACATTTACTGTTGGAGGGGTAGGACGAAAAACTTCGGGCTCCCTGATGAGTGAGTTCGGATTGAGTGAGTCAGGTAGAGTCTGTTCGGAGTCCAGAGACTCTACCTGACTATCCGAGTCAGGTACGTCGACCACCTGGGAAAGGGAATCAGGGACTGTGTCAGCCCACCGTTTGCGCAACTGATCGACATGGCGCTTCATCACTCTACCATCAGTAATTCTCACAGTATAATGGCGGGACCCTAAGATATGAGTTACTGTGGCTGGTAACCATTTGTGTCTGCTTCCGTAGTTCCTGGCATAAACACTTTCCCCTTCAACAAACATCCGGAGTTGGTCAGTGGACTCACTGTTAACAGCGTCGGATGACAACAATGACTTAATAGCCCATCTCCCTCCCCTCCTCAAAGATTTAAGGGGCCCTCCAGCTGATCGGCGGGCCACGTGCTCCCCCCAATCAGCTGGAGGTCCCTTTTAATGTCACAGGAGGAGAGAGGGGCAGCTGTTGTTGTGGGGCGTGCTTCGCATTTGAGGGGGGCGGAGCCCCAGAATGCCCCACTGTAGTTACGGGCCTGCTCTGGATGGGTCTTTGGCCAAAAAATATTCTTTCAAGCTTCCATGAGGGCCAAGGGCTCTGGGCTTTTGACAAGAGATAGTCCCACTGAATACCTTGAAATTTTCTGCTGTCAATGCATGCATAAGATAGATCGGGATGCAGAGAAAATAAACGGGCTGCTGGTGTTGGGCCTCCCAATGGGACTGACTGTTCGTTCAGCGCTGACATGCAATTTTTTTTTTTTTTAAAGTTTGATGCCCAAAACCTGCCCTTTTTGGACAGGTTTTGAGCAGCAATCCACGAGGCGGGGAAAATGTTCAGATTCTGAGCAAGAGGCTATCTTGCAAAATCATTCCACAATGGGGCGGGGGGAAGTATGGGAATAACTAGTTTAGGAGAGAACGGGGGGGATGAGGAAAGATGAGGACAATATGGGGTTGTGAACAAAGTTGTATGGACACAAGGGAAAAAACCCCAGTAACATTGGGGAATGAAAATGGAGCATTAAGGCAATCTGGAAAACTCCTGAGTCTCTACATCACTTCTGGGGAAAACCCAAAAGTGACATACAGTAGCTCTAGGAATCACCACAAATTCTGTGGTAAAACCATAGAGTTTTCCAGTGAGTCCTTGAGCTACCCCACGTCACTTCCAGGTTTTTCATGGAAGTGATGTAGGGACACAGCTGACATTGTGTGCTCCCCATTTCCCCACTCCCAATCCTCCTGTCAGTTTTCAGGCTCAGTCTGACCTGCCTAGAACCTGTGTACCAGTGTGCATGCTTGAGATACTGCCAAACCAGTTTCATAGAGGATAGTTTTATGAATGGCTATTCACCATGATGTCTAAATGGACTTCCTCCCTCAGCAGAATACTCAGGCCCGCCTGGAGATTTTAATGTCAACTGGCTATTAGCAGAACCTCCATATTCAGAGGCAGTATATCTCTGGATGCCAGTTGCTTGGGGGACAGCAACAGGGGGAGGCTCTGTGCCCTGCTTGTAGGCCTTCCCAAGCCACCCACTTGGCCCCTGTAAGAACGAGATCGACTGTGGGTCTGTCCCTCAGGGTTCTTCTGATATCCAGTTCCAGGAGAGATGTGAACCAGTGGGACATGAGTGTGTCTCACACCTTCCCAGCCGCGTTGTGGTTCAGCCAGCCATCGCATCAGTCTCAACCACAGCATCTCTTCCAGAAAGGATATGTTCCCTCCCCCAGGGGGGGCTTCCTTGGCACTTGTGGTTTGGTTTCTTATGGTCATGGAAAGAGAAAGCTGGCTCGTGTTTTCATTGGCAGCAGGCAAGGCTTTAGATGGCAACAGAAGAGGCCTTTGTTCAGGTCCTACAAGGATCATGAAGAGGCCTTTGTTCAGGTCCTACAAGGGGCCGCCTGTAACTTCTGATCGTTGCCATA